TGACAAAAAAATGGGGTGGGCGTGGCACATCCGGGTTGAATTACTAATTGTTTACATTTTGGGGCTGGGGCATAACTCGCATAGGATACGTTTGTTAAAAAAGGGCCTTTGCACACAATTACCTCATCATTTTGGCCAGTTTGTGTTAACAGCTCAGTTGTTTCAGCTTTATAGTTCCAAAAAAGGAACGGGTTTTTACATTTGGATATTTTCATTTTTCGATTTTGACCTTTGTTGACATTTGTTGACCTATATCTTTTGACCTGAATAATGTAGAAGCTTGAAATTTAAAACACAACATAACAATTGGAATATCAATTACCCTATGCAAAAAAAATTAAGGTGGGCGTGGCACATCTGGGTTATATTACTCATTATTGATATTTTTGGCCAGGAGCATAACTCGCAAAGTATACGTTTGTTCAAAATGGAACTTTGCATACAATTACCTCATATTGTGAGCCACTTTGTCTTAGAATTTCGGTTGCTTCCGCTTCTTAGTTCAAAAAAAGGAACAGGTTTAGGAAATTCAAAATTTTCAATTTTTGACCTTGACCTTTGTTGACCTTGACCTTTGTAGGATCAAACGTCATTGGCATTTACTATCTATTTGTACTTTCATATTTGCTGTCCTATGTCAACTTCCGGTTTTATAGTCGTGTGCAATTCGAAATTTTGATGACGTATATCTCTTGATCTTGACCTTTTTAGACCTTCTCTTTTACAAGATCAAAGGTCATTGACCTTGGCTATCTGCTGATACTTTCATTTGTGAGGTCTGACGTCTACTTCCGGTATTAGAATCTTCTAAAAAATGAAAATTTCTCAACTTTAGACTGTTCTTGCGCTTGATCTAATTATCGTGGAAGGATGATTTTTTCGGGGTCTTTTGCAATTTGCTACATTTGCAAAGTCCCACTCTGTGCCACGAGTGGCTCTAGTATATTAGTGTTTTGTTATAAATGGTAGAAGGATATGTTTAAGGACTTGTTGGACTGGTGGTAAAAGAGGTTGTTGGCCTAGTAGTAAGAGATGTTGTTTAACTGTTTATTACAATTACTAACATTTCTTTTCGACACCGATAATGACATACATGTACACTAAATTTGTGAAAACATATTTTGGATGAAAATTATGTGTTACAATTTTAGGGACTCCTGAGGTTTCTTACGGAGTTTTGAATGTTTTAATTTAATTTTTCGCAATAATAACCACAAACAACCATCAAATGAATTCGTTGACCCTAAAAAAATATGTCTATTGGTGCCCTAGAAGCAAAGTTAAGACTCGGAATATCAGGGATGGCGGCCATTTTAAATTTGGTCCAAAGGGTGCCAAAGTGGCGTCCGGTGGAAAAGTTTTAGATTGGCAATATGATGCAGAAAAAAAAAAATAAAACATTGTACGTACTCCAAAACATACTCTCGTGCTCTGCCACTGGACTATACGTATTAATTTTCTTGAACAAATCATATAGAATAGCTGGCTTGTAGTGTTTTAATCATCAATATATATTTAACAGTTGCAGTCATTACAGTGGCATATGAGCTTGAAATCTCATCTCAAGATGCTCTGAAAAGACAGGAGTACCAGGTGACATTGGAAAAGAAGACGTTCCAAAGCAACCGAGAATAAAATTTCCAGCGAAGTCTGGTCGCCATTTTAGTAACAGCTGGTATGATCGATTTCCATGGCTGGAGTATTCAGTGTCAGTGAAATTGGCTTTCCCTAATTTATATGCACTGGCTGCAAGCGTTGCCACATTCGGTTCTAGTACCGCTGTGTGTGAAAGCAGCTTTTCAACTCTTACTCACGTTGGCTCACCACAACAACGATCTATTCTTCTTGTCTTCAACAGGAAGCGTACCCAGAAAATTAACTTGGACGTATTTGTTCAACGTTTTGCCATAAAACATACCCGACTACGTTTAAACTAAAACGGCAATAAAAATGTAACGTATTATAACTTGTGTGTTTTAACAAAAATAATCTCGAATCTAAAATACTCCATGAAAGTCAGTTTCCCGACGTTTAATCGTCTGTCAAGGTGCTTTGCTAAATTGCCCCCCTCGATTGCACCTTTGCCCACCCAGGAGTATTGGTCAGGCTACGGGCCTGGTACCCTGTACTGGGATCGTTTACAAATTGGAGTTGTAAATATGCCTCTTAAATATGTTGCCTTCATTGGTCATGATGATAAGATGGCTATTTTCTATTTTCCCGATGAAGTATGTACCATGACAGTATTTCTACAGTCCAGTGACATCGTCCAAAATTTGTTACATAAAAGTTTATCGTCTATGTCATCGACATCATTGTATATGTGAACAAGATGTCAGCACATATTTAGGCTCTATATATTGTTTCAGTTTTTGTCTTAATAAATCAACAAACACTGGCTTTTAGATATCCATATTATACACTTAGGTCAAAAGTTATAACATATCACGGAATATTACTGAATATCAGTCAAAAAAATGTCTATCAGCCTTTGGTACAAAAAAAAAAATGAAAACGGTATTACATACACCGGGAGAATAGTAATATGATTTTCAGTATCTCAGACCCGATATACACTTGTAGAAATAAGTCAACAATCCTCTTCATGCTGTGGAATAAACAGTTTCTTTTATCAGGGAAAAGCTCATGTTTTAGGGATGCGAACCATTTTTGACCAATTTGTAAAAAGTTTGATGAAAACACAAAAATGATGAGGGTGATGTTTTGGGGAACTTATGTGATTAAAAAGTACATCTCTGTTTCTACTTTTAAGTATTAATTTCGCGTGTCCTTGGAAATCATGGAATGAGTCCTTATTTTCTAGCTAAACTCGATTTACAGATGATATCTAACTAATTAAAATTATCTCTTACTTTTTCAGCCTTCATCAGGAGTCGACCTAATAAACGACTGATTTCGACGTCTGTAAAGTTACATTACTCGAAATCGAAATCCAGAACGCTTTGCGTTTAACATAAAGAGGCTGTCTGAAGGGAACTTTGTCAGCTATTGGATGGGGAAACAAGCAATAATATTCCCTTTAGCAAACAATTCGATTCAAAATGGTTCTTCAATTTTGTAAATGGGTGAACGAAGGAGCCTATCCTGTAGAATTCTGAAGTGGATTTCTAATGCGCTCTGTTTTTCTTCAACCATTTTAAATTCTAAATCAAAGGTTTGCATTCGAGAATTCATAATTACAACAATATCCCTCCCGTATTTACAAATTAGTAATTACAATCAATGGCAAATACTGTTTATTCAAAATTATTACTAACTTACCCTTGACCTCGTATCATATTGAGTTCAAGACAATGAGTTATTATGAGTATGTAAACACCGAGCTTTCAGAAAGAGAAAGAAATTCAAAACAAATGTTAATTTATAGGCAAATAGAGGAATTGAAGATTAATAAAGCAGAATAACAATTTTTAAGTTGTTCTTTCATTGTTATTTAAAGGAGGTAATTGAGGTATAGGAACTTCTGATACTAAAACTTCAAACACCATCAAAAGTCCAGTTTCTCCAATAACTAAGTCGGGAATTTTTTCTTTTCGTAATAATTTCCATACACCTTTTTCTATGAATGTATTCCATAATGGCTCTAATCTATTTACAAATTCTTCAACTCTCACCAAATTACTCTCTATCATTTCAATACAGATTACTCCCCCTGAAACGGTAAGAATCAGTGTAAGTTATATACGACTTAACTGCAACAGATCACTTTGTGTCTGGATAAAGATGCGAATGGACGATGTACGATGCGGAAGTATCGATACAAGTAGATGCGAATCGTGTCCGGACCCGTACGTCGTGTGTTTACTTTTTCTATTAATTTTCTACTGTATCGATAATCCTGCATCACACGCCACACTGGACATCGTCTTTTAGCGGCTTAAAAGATAAACTAATAGAGTTATTAAGATAGATAGAATATAATAAAATTTCGTTGTTTTTAGAAAGTTGGATTCGAAATAACTGCCTTATGATTATGCGAAATGAAATGTTTTCCATCATTTAATACAGGGGAGACGCTAATGAACATTGTAGGTAACCTCTCATACTGCGATGAACTACTTGACAGTGAGGTAACTGCCTGTAACTTATGGCATCTCCTCTGATAAGATAAGATTTATTGCATATACCGCCAATTATTGTGGGCAAGCATGTAAATATAAAAATAAAGTCAGCTATGGAGTGTAGCAGCTAAAGGATTGGTCGGAGTTGCATTTAAAAGCTTTTACTTTTCAGTGAAAGATACAAAAAAAACTCTAAAAAAAACTTGTTCTAAAAAAGATTTCTGAAAAAGTATTACCTGGTTTGACGATTCGGACGATTTCATATAAAGCATTACACGGCATTAAACTTTGTGAGAATCCACCAGATACTACAGAACAGTCATATTTATCTGAAGAAAAATATCAAACAGTTTTTGTAATTTTATAGTAGGCACCCGGTGAGATTGGTTGAACAACCACGAGCTTTATAATATTAAAATTACGAAATAACCTGTCAAAATAAGTGTTCTACTAAATCGACCTAAGACGAGTTGTAAACTGAAGCTTAATTATGATACAATTTTTAAAATTTGATTTTATCAAATGATAAGGCGATTAAATCCTGGTGTATAGAAGATTGATTGCCAATGGTTTCTTTCTCTCCAAAATTATTCTATTCCAACCTTATTTTAGCTTTTGATTTGACCCTTTATTCTTGATTAAGAGATAACTGAGAATTTCATATTATTATAGTGGTTTAGTGCTGTGGGTGAAGATTTGCAGAAGATTTGCAGACAGTGCAGTACATGTTAGTTTTTATTAATAAGAATGTGTTATATCGCAGTACCTGTTTCTAGAACAGTTTTATGGCCATCAACAAAGTCAACCACATAATCTCGGTATATATTTTTCTTCATAGCCTCATCTTTCATACCCTGACTTGGATCTATACCATCTATAATACTAAATCCCAACTTTAACAACTACAAACAGTCATACAATTAGAATAAAATAAGAAAATGATCACAAATATTGTCTCCGTAGCATGGACATGACATAATTAAAATATCAAATAAATGGAAAAAAATTGCGGTTTGTCGACTCAATTGTAGGTCGAATGTGAACCTTAAAAAAGGGAATGGAATTCAACACAGTTCAATGAACCAAACGGACACCTTACCAATTTAATCAATGTTAGATTACAATCGAAATCATAATCGTATTTTTTAATTACAATGACTCCATAAAGACCAGGTTTCATCCAAATAGGAGTTGGCCTATATCAATGATATTGGTCTGGCTTGACACTACATGAAAATTGGCCGCCAAATAATTTCGGGACAGTCTCTGGTTGTCACTATAAACCTTTACCAACAATCTCTGTCTACACTTGAGCAACAATTTAACAACATTTAAACAACATGCTAGAAATTTGTAAAAAACAAAATTACGGGAAAATGTAGCAAAATGGATGAAATAAATTCCTTAGGTGAATCGGTACTTTCATACTCAACCATCTACATCGCTATCATTTTCCCAATATGACCTCAATATGCATTATAATGACCAGATGGCAGATTGTTGGTGAATAGTTGTAAGCCGTGGTCTCTCTACATTATCAAATATCAAAAAAATAAATAAAAAAAGATTCCAACAAAACTACCTTCTTTTACCTCAACTTTTCCCAATCATTTGTCCAATTTTTTTAACATTTTTTCAAAAATCTCTGTCTACACTTGAGCATCACTTTGACAACATGTTGGAAAGTTGTTGGGAAAAGAAAGCTTGCCAGGCATGGTAATTTAAGCTCACTGACAGCTTTGATTTTGAATAAAAATATTTGGCAGTACAGTAACTATAACCGTTATGGAATATTCAACCTTCAGTCATACACTTCTTTTGGACTTTTTCGAGCGATATTGAATAATGTTATCAAGTTTTGCCAAATTCGGCAAGAATTTCCGTTTGGTGTTTACGAGCTGATAATTGAAAGCGGTTTCAAGAACAAGGGAAATAACTCATACTAAATATTTCTGATTTTTCTGGTTTTCAATAAGGTTCTTCCTTTGTCAAAATCTGTCAAGTATTGTGCCTTTTAGAGTGTTTACGACCTAAAAATCAAACACGTTTATTATTACCTCTATGGTGTTCAAGAACAAGAGCAATAACTCTAAATACCAGATATTTTTCGATTTTTCTTCAACAGAGTTCATCCTTGGATGATTACAAAAAATTATACCAAGTTTCATAAAAAATCCGCCAAGAATTGTGCCTTCTATAGTGTTCTATAGAGCATTTATGGACGGATCGATGAACCAACGACAATATACGGCCCCCATTTTATGTGGGCGTAAAGAAATTTGAAGAAAAGACGATTTTTTTTGCATTTTTCTGTGTACAGACGGCAGAGATGCCAGATCAAACGGTTAAAAAATAGTTTAAGCCATGGGGCATACCATTGTACCAGAGCTTTTATGATTCCAATCTTACTCCTTCTTCTTTATGGTTTTGTCAATAACGCGATTTGGCAGAATGTTGATTGTTCTACTTGATAAATCGCCGGAAAATCTTTCTTAAACGAATCCCATAGTTAGTCATCTAATTCTTACCGCCTGAGAAGCTAACCCCGTTCCTGCAGCTATATCTATAACACTAACAACATCCTTGTTGGTTGAGAAATGATCTGAGGCTGCCCTTGTAACAATATCCACGCCTTTATTACCAATAAAACTCATATCCTAAAACATACGAATAAATCTTTAATTTGACTGACACAAATATCACGAGGAAAAAGATTATTGGAATGCGTTCTAAATGCAAAGATAGCTTACAATAGGCAAGGTAATAAACACTCACTGGAATCTTGGTGTTCAAATAAGAACATGATTTTTTGGGCCAACATCCACAGAAAAAATACAAATTTAAAAATAAATGTAACAATGTAAGTATCTTAAAGGTTGACATAAAACATAATTGGTTTACAAGTTATGATTGGCCCTGACAAGGGCAATATTATATTCTTTTTTAAGAAAATGAGGCACTTATAGGCCTACATGAAATTAGGTGTTCCTAGGTGTCTCAAGTCCTTCGACAACTCCGACAGATCATTAACGAGCATTAAGTTGACTTACAGATGGGTCTCAGAATGCAGGAGAGCATACGTTAAAAAATAAGGTCTCGAATGAGGGGCCCAAACACACTTCCATATGGAACTCGTAGAAAATATTTTCAGATTACAAACAGGGTTCATACTTGGATTTCGTTAAACTCCACCAAGAATTTTGCGTTCTAAAGTGTAAACGAGCTAAAAAAAAAAGAATTATCTCGTTTCGTAGAATAAGGACAATAACTCATAACTATTTTTAGATTTATATTTTCATCGCTACGTAATTATATAAAATTTAATTTTTCGTCCAAATTATTCAAGAATTGTGCCTTGTAGGCTGTTTATAAGTATATAAATGTACTTTCGGTAATTCATAATAATCGCCCTATCTCAATATATCTTACTTTAAGGGGAAAATTGATTTTTTAAGTAAGTTGACCAAAATCTAGAACAAAAGGACTCCTTACTTGATCAGGAAGTGACGCTATAACTATTGGAAGATTTACGTAAACATAATAATATCAATATATGTTTTATGTTGATGTTTGAAAACTAATGTACGAATTTAATACGCCAAGTCTCCCAATTATTCGGAAGTTTCAGCAAAAAATGTCAAACCTCTAACATAATTTAGAAATAATTCACTTATAATTTGCTCCCTATACACCATACCTTTTCATATTTTCCATCTTTAGCCCATTGGTCAAAAGCATTGATAACTTCGTCTCTTTTCATCTGTTTCCTTTCTTCAAAAGCAGTCTTCAAACTAAACGAGTCTGTACTCAAATCTCCCATGATGCACCTTTTAATCTAGTAAAAAATTTAACATTCAAAAATCAATTAATTTATCAAAAAAAATGTGTACCTAGAATTATCTTTTGAAACCTAAGACACGGCTTTGTGGTTAAACACCATCTTTTGAACCTATAAAGAAGATCTGTAGTTTAACACTATCTAAAACATGGATCTATAGTCGAACAATATCTTTGAAACTAAGACCGTGGACCGTGGACCTCCTTGAAAATTGTCCAAAAAAATTGTCTAACTCGATTTTGGAAGTGAAAGTGGAATAAATATTCCCCCCCCCCCCTCCCTTCCCTCCACCTGCAACTAATGCTCCAATGCATTTCTTTTGTTTTATGGACATCGATCGAATATTAAGAGTCTTTTTGAGTTAATAAATGCTATATCTTTTTCACTGCCTTTATTAAATACTTTTTCTCTTTTTTAGTTAAAAAAAAAACTTGGCAAAAAGCAGTTCTTCTTACCCCGAATGTTAGCAGAGAATATTCAATTTCTTGTTATGTTTTCTTTACTGTCTTTAGAATCTTTTTCTCGTGTCGTTCTTCAGTACAAATCTAGTCAAAAAACCAGACTGTCAGCAGAGAATTATATCTGATCCCACTGTATTTGAATACTGATCATAAAGATTGAGTAGTAAAAACAACTCAGTGAGCACTTTATGAAATGTTTGAGACAATCTTAAGACTTCGAATTCGATTTGTTTTCAGACAAAATGTTAAAAGTAAGATTATAACGTTTCTATTTGGAGTTAATAAAATATTGCTTTGTTTTGCTAATATTAATAGAGCGTGATAAGGTCCATACAATTGTCAAGGCAAGAAATTTATGCCCTTTTCTCCCCTTACTCATTCAAAGATAAGGAATTATACTTGTTCCAATTTGAATTCAAGTCCAGTATAAATGCATCGAAAAATGGGAAAAGGACGAATTTGGACAAGGTGTGAACTGGGAAAGAGACGAAGTCGGCATACCATTGAAATTTTCATCCCGGTTTCGCCCTGTCAGTGATGCAGGTAAGAGGGGCTGAAATGGAAAAAGCGTCTAGTCGTTCGTATGGGACAGGCTGTGCACGTTAAAGATCCCTCGACAATTGGAAATCGAAAAAAGCAGGCTAATGCCGCTGTCCTGGCAAAATTTCCCTCTGCATGGCGTTGCCCAAACGGTGCAGAAAAGTAGGATTTAAAACTCCCTTCATTTCATTTCATTTCTTATTTGCGTGGGTCCTCCACTGCTGATTCCTCAAATATTGTCGCTGAGTGGTGAGTTATGAAAAGCGCTATATACCCTGAGGCCCCATTTTGAATTTTACAGAAGTATGACATATCAATATGGCGACTACTCTGTTACATCCGGGTCGGATTTTTTGATTTGAAGTTTTTTGTATGGATATTTGTAACATATTGCAAGAAGAATTTTTTAAATATCTTCAAAATTCCGGAAGTTGAATTTTATATTTTAGAAGCGAATAGCGTCAAAACCGGAAGTGATATTAACATTTTGAAAATTTGTTTATGTTCGCAATGAAAGTGTCTATTACTCTGTAAGTTTTCAGATTGATCGAAACAGAATTGCAGAAGTTAGAAAAAAGGTTAAAAAACTCAAAAATTGGAACTCAAAAAGTCAGCGACAAAAGTCAAAATTGTCGATTTTTTCAATTGCTATCTTGTAGTCATTAGCGCGAAGTAATAAACAGTACAGTTTGAGCAAATTCAGACGAGTATTAAAGCTGATTAATGGAAAAAATTGAAAAAGAGCCAATGTCCACGGCTCATTTCCTGTTGGTCAAAATGGTGCCAATTTACATTTAACAAACAATGGACCACTATTTTGACTAGCAAACAGTAACAGACAATCTGTGGCATGTTGCCTTCTTAGAAAACAAGCGAAGGTAAAATTCGAAAAAAAAACTAGAACTGTTCTAATAACAGTACTGATGCAGTTACGACATTCAGGTACATACGAAGATGGTCTATTGCAATTACTTTATGTAAATACCTTTCTGCATCTCTAAATGCAAATATCCAAAAGTGCATGGAGTTTAAAGTATATTTACTAGGAATAAAAGAATATTTGTCAATTAAAAAAGACTAAGTTTGATGAAATCCGGATAAGAAATAAGAAAGTTGGTAATGCGCATGCGTAAAACAAAAATTCAATATTGCCATCAAATTTAGAATTGAATTATACACATATATACCAAGTTTGGTGAAATTCGGATAAAAAATAATGAAGTCGGTAATGCGCATGCGCACAACAAAAATTCAATATTTCCATCAAATTTAGAATTGGATTATACACATACATACCAGGTTTGGTGAAATTCGGATAATAAATAAGAAAGTTGGCAATGCGCATGCGCACAACAAAAATTCAATATTTCCATCAAATTTAGAATTGGATTATACACATACATACCAAGTTTGGTGAAATTCGGATAATAAATAAGAAAGTTGGTAATGCGCATGCGCACAACAAAAATTCAATATTTCCATCAAATTTAGAATTGGACTATACACATACATACCAAGTTTGATGAAAATCGCATAATAAACAAGAAAGTTGGCAATGCGCATGCGCAGTACGCAAATTCGATATATCCATCAATTTTGAATTTGATTATACCCATACATTCCAAGTTTGATGAAAATCGGATAATAAATAAGAAAGTTGGTAAATTAAGTGGGGGTATCCCTTTAATGTGTTTCTGTAAGTTCAACCTACCTTATAATAGCGTTCAATATACCCTAGAGCTTATTTATATACACCGTAACTGCACATACTACATATTAAACAAATATATAAGGGAAGGTTTCTTTAAAATGAATATAGACTTTTTGATTTTAATTAGTTCTAACAAGTGTCGACAGGTTGTTTACAGGGATTGTACAATAATAGCCCCATGTTAAGTGAATGGGGTTTTGAATTAGCATGTAAGGTATGCATGTAATATATCACTGGAAAGCTCTCGATGCGTAGATTACGTTTCTGTAAAAATTATGGTTATAACATTAATAAAATGGTTGCTAGAGCACTTTAAAAGAAAATTTCGCTATTTTCAAACGCCCATAACTTCAGAAGATATAGTCGGAAACAAAAAATGAAAATACCATCGGATAGGTATTGACGATAACATTAACCCATATAAAACTCAAGGTCATATGACTTCAAGGTCACGAGAGAAAAAGCCTTAAATATTGAACAAATTTGAAAACTTTCATTAAAGAATGAAAAGAAAGCAAAATCAAAATTAAAAATTCGGCTTTCAGAGAATTGTTGACAAACGTCTTAAGTTTCCATTGACACCAAAAACATGCAAATCGGATAAGAAATGAGAGAGAAATATCGATTTTAAGAAATATTACGCTATTCAAAATGGCGGTTTTATTGACGTTTCCGGTCAATTTTTTTTCGCTCATTTTACTTTGAATAACATTTATAATGATATGCATATGTGTTTTTAGGCGTAGCTGTGAAAGGTAAAAAGTTGCAAAACTGACTTTGAAGGCAATTTTTGCAAAAACTGGATATGATGCAAAACTTCTGAAAACACATTTGAGTTTATCAACATGACAATATTTTCCCATATAAATTTCATATCGATTGACTTCATAGCAAACGTTTTAGTACAGTGCTAGAGAGGCTTTGCTATTATAACTTGCAAACAATATAGCAAATTTGCATAATTGAATGTGTCATAGTATGACGTTACGTTTATGCAATACAATGTAGAAAATTCTATGAAAATCGAGCGGTAAATAAGCAGACCAGTGCTTTCCGTAGTCAGTCATGGTGGCCCACCACTACGCATGTCCGGTTTTTCAAAATTGTGTCGTTTTACATTTAAAATCTAATGACCGCGGAGTATAGATACGACATAGTTAAAAAATATCCATACCATGTACAGTTTCGTCTGTGAGCTCTGTCAAGAATTCGAAAAAAAAAAAACTAGAACTGTTCTAATAACAGTACTGGTGCAGGGCGGTTACGACATTCAGGTACATACGAAGATGGTCTATTGCAATTACTTTATGTAAATACCTTTCTGCATCTCTAAATGCAAATATCCAAAAGTGCCTGGAGTTTAAAGTATATTTACTAGGAATAAAAGAATATTTGTCAATTAATAAAGAATAAGTATGATGAAATCCGGATAAGAAATAAGAAAGTTGGTAATTTGCATGCGCTCAACAAAAATTCAATATTTCCATCAAATTTAAAATTGAATTAAACACATACATACCAAGTTTGGTGAAATTCGGATAAAAAATAATGAAGTCGGTAATGCGCATGCGCACAACAAAAATTAAAAATTTCCATCAAATTTAGAATTGAATTATACACATACATACCAAGTTTGGTGAAATTTGAATAAGAAATAAGAAAGTTGGTAATGCGCATGCGCACAAAAAAAATTCAATATGTCCATCAAATTTAGAATTGGATTATTCACATACATACCAAGTTTTATGAAAATCGGAAAAGAAATAAGAAAGTTGACAATGCGCATGCGCACTACGCAAATTCGATAATTCCATCAAATTTAGAATTTGATTATACACATACATACCAAGTTCGATAAAAATCGAATAACAAATAAGAAAATTGGCAAAGCGCATGCGCACTTTGCAAATTCGATAATTCCATCAAATTTAGAATTTGTTTATACACATACATACCAAGTTTGGTGAAAATCGGATAAGAAATAAGAAAGTTGGCAATGCGCATGTGCACTACTCAAATTCGATAAATCCATCAAATTTAGAATTTGATTATACACATACATACCAAGTTTGATGAAAATCGGATAGTAAATAAGAAAGTTGGCATTGCGCATGCGCACTACGCAAATTCGATAATTCCATCAAATTTAGAATTTGATTATACACATACATACCAAGTTTGATGAAAATCGGATAGTAAATAAGAAAGTTGGCAATGCGCATGCGCACTACGCAAATTCGATAATTCCATCAAATTTAGAATTTGATTAT